GCTACCAAAGTTCAGATCTACGTCTAGTTGTCTATTATGATGCTGACTGGGCAGGAGACTTAGATGAGCGTAAGTCTACTTCAGGATATGCTTTCATGCTTAGCGATGGTGCTATTTCTTGGAGCAGTAAGAAGTAATCCTGTATCGCTTTGTCGACTATGGAGGCTGAGTTTGTGGCTTGTTCATCTGCATTTAGGAAGCCGTTTGGTTGAGAAGATTCCTTTAGCATTTGGATATTATCACACATACTTCAAACTTTTTGACTATCCATTGTGACAGCATGGCTGCACTCGCTTACGCTAAGGATCCTAAGTACCACGGGAGAACCAAACACATTGATGTGAGGTTCAACTTTATCAGAGACATTGTGGCGCAGAAAGAAGTGATCCTAAAGCACATCCCTACAAGTCGTATGGTTGCGGACCCTTTGACTAAGCCCATTGCTAAAGATGTTTATCTTATTCATGTTAGGGTTTTAGGACTACGTAGGTGGTGATATATATATGTGTATTTAGTTGAACTCATATTTTTTTGGGGATATTTATGCCATTAGTATTCATATTGGTTTCTATTACACAATTATGTTTACTACTTTTTGCAATGGTTTGTGAATTAGCATACATAGAATAAATAAATTGATGTTAGCATGCTAGATTGGCTCACTCATACGAGAATCGCCCTTAGCACTAGGTAGCGAGCAAGGATGGGACTAGTGGCTCATTGGATCTAGAGCTAAGAGAGAGGCTAAAATTATCCACTAGCTATATCGCTTTGGTTGGATCCAATATGAGGTCTTGTTAGAGACTGACCATGGATATGTGAGTACCTACTTTTTCATGATGTGCCTATTATGGATAGCCAGATACGAGATCTCATTTGATGCTTGAGAGGCGAGCAAATAAAGAATTCAAGTTAGACGCTAGGAAACGACTTGTGCGCTTAAGAGCGACTAGACTAAGATCTGTATGGTGTGTGAGTTTAACATCACTCCTTGGAAGAGTTACTCCACTATAGCATGCATTCGTACTGCATGTACTTATCGACCCGTTAGCGAGGTGAGAGAATAGATCCGTACTTCCTCACCGTATAAGTCCTAAAAGTCATTTTTTTCCAATGACTTCACTTTGTGTCTTTTGTGACCTTTGACTATATCATAAGATGAGGAGTTGATGTTCGGCTACTTTGGTATGTTGCCTGCGGTCATGTATGATTCGGTTTTAAGGGACGTTACTAGGAAAGCGGCCAATTCCAAGTTAAATGATATGAGGGTAAAAGGAAGATCATCTAGTTCTATATATTTGCTCTATATTCACTGTCGACAACTCACATTGCTTTGTATGGGATGTTGATTGAGTGTGAATATAATGCGGGACCTAGGAGGGTTAAATATGCTCTTTGAAGGAGTAGAAATGTTTTGGACCGATGTAACTAGATGGGTCTGGGTACATGAGACACTATTTCTATTCTTCTTGGGTTGATGTCTTTATGTTGGCTCATATTGAGTTTCTAATATAGAGCTCCCACATGCAGGTGTTCTCAACGGTCGCACGGTTCATTGGCTAGTATGAGCTTGTTCAATATTTGGGGAGATTGAGACAAGGATGTAGCAGTGTCATGCCAACTCATGTGTGAGTGAGAGATGTTGAAAATTGGACCGGGTATTAGACCCGGATTTAGGCATTCATGTGGCATGATCCATGACCCATATCAGATCATTTAAAAAATTTGAATTTGAATTTAAATTATTATCGATCCTTTTGTTTGGATAACCCACTATCTTATATCTATATCTATCATATCCTATCAACAGATATGGATAGATGGTTAGATAGAATTAGCCTATATATTAGATACGTTGTATATAAGATATGAGATGTGGGATGATTAGAATAACAATTGATATTTTTCCCATACTCTTTCTCTAACTCTCTTCCATTTGTAAAACAATCAAACCTTTGCACTGTGACTGGTGTGGGTGATTCTTATACTGTTGTATCACTCTATTGCTGGGTGTTCATAGTTTGTGGTTTGTGAAGCACGTGATTTAGTTTCAAGGTTTATCGTTTTGGATTCAATCACCTAAGGTTCGGCTTGAATTTTTTTACCCACTGCGTTATACATGATTTACAGTCCTTATTGAGATCTCAAAAAAAGACTTTCCTCATTGGAAAAATGCATTGGTTGGATACTTCATTAATAAAAATTCTCTTTTCATTATGTAAAAACTTAGGCAGAGAAACTTTAGAAAAATTTGCTTGAGAATGCTGTCTCTATTGATAATCATTTTTTTTTATTTTCAAAATAAAAAGTGAAGAGGCAATGGACAAAATTTTGGAAGATAGCCCCCATTACGTTGGGGCTAGATTGATTGCTGTTAAAAAAATGACAACCTGGCCTAAAACTAACAAAGTGTGAATTTTCTAGTGTGCGATTGTGGGTGAAGTTGTATAATGTTCCTTTGGAGCTTTGGACTGAAGAAGGTTTGAGTTACATTGCTAGCATCATGAGAACTCCTCTTTATTTGGATGAACCTAGGTTCAAGAGAAGCAGACTTACGTTTGCGAGAATATGTATTGAAGTGCTAGCAAATAAAGAGGCCCCTAAGTTTTTCAAAATAAATCTTGGTTATGGTGACTTGTATGAGATTCAAGTTGAGATTCCATGGAAGTCTCAATGGTGTGACGTTTGTAAAACTTTTGGTCATACCACTAAGACTTTGAACCCTCCATCTTCCAAACAAGAGTGGAGAGTTAAGGCGGCTAGAATACAAATTCCGACTAAATAGGAAGTGGTGAAGAAGAAGGGAGAGATGGTGGGTAAGGTTCAACGACAATGATAAACAAAGAGAGAGAGAGAGACGTAATCTTCTGCCCCCTCAATATCTAATGCCTTTGGTGTCTTTGAATCATGTGAGATAGGAGAGTTAGGGAATGAAGAATTAAATCAAAAGTTGTTGTGCCAAATGAAGAGCCTAAAAAATAGAGGGAATCCATCTCCAAGTGACCCCAGTAATGGTAAGACTACAAAGGAGGATAACAGAAGAAAACTCAAAATGAAACTTCGTTACTTGAAGATTGCTAGAGAGAAATTTTAAGTCATTTTTGTTGTGTATATTGTGTTTGTCTTCTATAGGTTTAGTTTATTTCTTTTGAAAGAATAATTTGTTTTTATTTATATTTATTCTCCCTACAAAATATGTATTGAATTTTATTATATATATTTATTTTTTTATTTATAATATGGCTTACTTATCAAAAAAAAAAAAAATTCTTAGGGAGAGATGGTGGGTAAGGTTCAACGACAATGATAAACAAAGAGAGAGAGAGAGAGAGACGTAATCTTCTGCCCCCTCAATATCTAATGCCTTTGGTGTCTTTGAATCATGTGAGATAGGAGAGTTAGGAAATGAAGAATTAAATCAAAAGTTGTTGTGCCAAATGAAGAGCCTAAAAAATAGAGGGAATCCATCTTCAAGTAACCCCAGTAATGGTAAGACTACAAAGGAGGATAACAGAAGAAAACTCAAAATGAAACTTCATTACTTGAAGAGTGCTAGAGAGAAATTTTAAATCATTTTTGTTGTGTATGTTGTGTTTGTCTTCTATAGGTTTAGTTTATTTCTTTTAAAAGAATAATTTGTTTTTATTTATATTTATTCTCCCTACAAAATATGTATTGAATTTTATTATATATATTTATTTTTTTATTTATAATATGACTTACTTATCAAAAAAAAAAAAATTCTTGTCTGCGGTGAGTCCTATGAAGACAAGCCGTCTATCATCGTCTCTATGCACATCGTACATTGGTAGGTTCGATGGGAAGAATGTGAATTTCGCAGCCATATCTCACGTGTGTATATGGAAGAATAAGATTGTCCAATATATATATATATATATATTTTCATGTGTCCTCCATCAAGTATAGACCTCCAAGTGAGAGTTTATGAAGGAAAAATATATGTTTTATATCATTTTCATAAAATAAATAAATAAAAAAGTCCAATAGAAGGATTTTGACCAAATTTCTCTTTAATTTTGACTTGAGATTAAAGTTTGGGTCTAATAACTCAAAAGATTAAAAAATAAACTTATGTCCTGGAGCCCCCACCATTAAGGGTTAAAATATCAAAATTTGACTTTATTTATTTAATTTTTCTAAAATATCAAATACAAATAACATTTGTGAGCTCAATATAAAGATAGCTCTTGCCAAAATTAAGTAATCTGTCAAATCCTGTGTCATATTAATGATAGTGTGATAAGTTTATCAATGCCACACCTCCATGATTTTGGTAAATCTCATACATTTATATTAATCATAAATAATATTCTTCTTTAAATTTCTACTCATATCATATCATAATTACATATAGTACGCAACAAAAAAAAAAAAAAGAAAAAAAAAAGGTTTCCTAAAGTGATGTGTTGTATGGGTGAGATTTAATGCTAAAAAATTGATGTGACTTGTCATTAAATCTCAACCATACAACACACCACTCTAGGAAATTTTAGGAAAAAAAAACTCTAGAGGATCCTTGCTCCTTTTTAAGGGTGTATAAATTAAAATTACTCAAAATCATAATATATCATAACATAATTTGATTATATAGTACACTCATAATATAGTATAATTTCACTTAATGTCTTAAATATTATTAATTTTATCCATAATCTTATATTATTACGAGTCTCCATCAAACGAAGATCATTTCAAACACGCCCATAATTCTGAAGAGCTCATATCCATGGGTTGAAGGCTTCAAGACCTGTCCTTTCATTTGGTGGCAACGCTATCCAAAAATAGAAAAACTAAGTACAAATATTACAATGTCATTCATTTTTTAATTATTAGTTTACTGTTTATGCAAGACTTTTTGATTTTTTTTATTTAAAAATATTGTTAAGAAAAACATTAAAACAATGCCTATCTTGTGATACAAAACAATACAAAATTTGAGCAGGGCAGAAACACAAACACATACACAGGATTCAGTCATGTAGTCATCGAAATAACCATAATTTGAAGGTCTAGCAGATATTGAAAAAACTTTGGACATTGCTACAGAAATTCATTCCTGTTGCATCAGCTTCATATAAAGGACTCATATCAAATATCACTCAGGTGGAATAGGGTAGTACTAGTAGTGCCCTTTTGGCCACCATAATTTGCAGCACTTATATATGAAGTGAAAAAATAAAAATAAAAATAAAAAAACCCTTAAAGAGCCAAATTATAGATAATTTACATCCATCTCTCTATCTCTCTCTTCATAAGGAAAAGCAGAACAAAGTTAACCGACTAGCTAGGGAGCTTTCAAGGGTTCAAGGCAGGAGATTAGCTTGATAGTTGAGATAGTCACCATGGTGAAAACTTCTGCATTTGTAATACCAAATACTACGACTTTGTGTTTTGTGTAATGAGTACACTACAGTGACACTCTTTCTCACATACACGCGAGCTCTATTAGTGTGTGTACTCCACAAGTGCCTGGTAGAGAGAGAGGCATATATACCACTGTGTTATATCCATTACACAAAATACCGCCTCCAAATACCATTCTAAAACACCACCAATCTCTCTAACATAAGAGGCTAAACCTTCGCTTGAATAGGTTAGGAGGGCTTTGGTCCGGTGGGTGCATAAATTTGCAGTTAGGGCAAGCCGGAGAAGACTTACACATCATCACCAACATATAACACTTGTTGCACACTCTAGTTATCATCTCTGTCTGACTCTGATCCCCTAATTCAAATTCCAACCACGATGGACACCGGTTTAAACCCCCTGAATTCTTCTTCTTGTTTTCGCTGCAATTCAGAAACGCCTCACCAGAATTATAGGAGGAGCTACCTGAATTATTCTTGTCAAAATTGTCACCGATGAGATTCTTTGTAGATGGTGATCCACATGGTAGGTTGAGCTCGAGGTCTAAGCTCATGTGACCACCTGGACTACTTGGTAGCTCTGGGCTCATCCTTGGATCATTTGATGTTCTCTTTTGAGTCCTCACATTGTAATAGTGTATCTCACCAGACTGCACACCAAACAAGAAAAACAATGAGGTCTTAATCGTACTTAATAATTCTCACATAAGTAAAACAATAATAGTTTATCGTGTATGATAATATTGTTAATACTGATTCGTATACTGATACTGTTATTTAAAAGAATGGATTAGTGTATACCTTGATATTGAGGCATTGTTGCCACTCCAAAGGCAATGGAGTCTCGAGGTTGAGCTCCGTATCGAATATGGATTTGGAGATTGGGTTATGGAAAACCTCTTCATCAACTTGTGGATCTTCCCTATATTTTCTCTTCTTTGTTAAATTGTCCAACTCTGTGATTGTCTTTCTTTGAGTTGGTGAGAGGTGTTTATGAAAGGAAACCATGCTTGAATTCAAAAGATCGCCACTATCTCTCTGTGAATTGTGATCAAATGGTGAAACGGGTGGTTATATAGGAAGCGAGAGAGAGAGAGATTATTAATGGGCAGCAGGTAAGGGAAAGGGTCCTGTAGGCCCGTGAGGGGGAAATTATAGAATGTTGTTGGAGTATCATGTGACCGTATTCTATAAGTAATCATTATTTAATATGTCTCATCATATTCTCCAAGTACTCAATGTAATATTTATCTTTTCATTTTCTCCACCAATCACAATATTATAGAATATCACGTATTTATATTCTGAGATTACTGAATTTTATTTTGTTTTAAAAATGCATGATGCAAATCATTCTACGATAAGATACAAATGAAAAAGGGAGATTTGGTGATAACTCCCTCACTATCTAATTTGTGTTTCAAAAGGACAAGAATTATATAAGTACTTTCAAAATCCCCTAATATTTTAAAACTTATTTCTTTTACTATATTACTCTCATATCTATCAGCTCTCATATTAAGTCATCTTCACTATATATTTCAGAGTTGAAAGTAAAATTTTACTCTGTATGAAAGTAAAATTTTACTATGTATAAAAGTAAAATTTTACATTGTGAAACTAAAAGTAAAATTTTACTCTGTATGAAAGTAAAATTTTACTTTGTATAAAAGTAAAATTTTACTATGAATGAGAGTAAAATTTTACACTCTGAAACTAAAAGTAAAATTTTACTCTGTATAAAAGTAAAATTTTACTCTGAAAAATAGGTAAACTGTAAGACTCTGAAGCTAAAAGTAAAATTTTACTCTGTATAAAAATAAAATTTTACTCTGGTTCTGTCAAATAAAAAAACAGAGCAATAGAATCAAAGTAAAATTTTACTCTGGTTCTATCAAATGAAATTTGATGTTTACTCTGAAAAATCGATGGAACTTTGAGCTTTGATCTTTGAATCAGGCCTATAATCCTTGAATTAATTGATGTTTACTTTGAAAAACATTGAATCATGTCTATAATCCTTGAATCAGGCCTATAATCTGAAAATTTTAGAGAAATCTCAATTTTTCATACCCCAATTCTTCAGATTTTTCAGATTTTTAAAACTTTGAGCTTTCAAAAATCTATATATTCGAATTCAAATATCAAAATACACAAACAAACACATATATATAGATATATATATATATATTACAGATCGGAATATGTAGATATATATATATATTCGAATTCAAATCTCAAAACACATATATATTCGAATTCAAATCTTAAAACACACAAGCACACACATATATATAGATATATATATATATATGTATCAGCGCGATTTGCAAGTTCTCCACAGTTCCGGTCATGGAGGAAGCTAGGATTAGAAAAGAGAGACGAGATAGAAGATGAACAGTTGAAGGAGAGTTGAAGGAGGAGAGTTGAGAAGATGCAGAGAGAGATCGCCGGAGCTTAGGAATGACACAGCTCCGGCCATGGAGGGAGCTAGGGTTAGAAGTGAGAGACGAGAGAGAAGATAAATTTTGTATCTGGATTGTGTATATGTGAGGGTATAATAGTCTGATAAAATATTTCAATAATAAATTTTGTCATTTATGCAAGATTTTATAATTATGAGGGGGTTTAGAAAGTATAATTTTTTTCTTAATCCTTCTAACAATGAAAGGAAGGTAAAAGGGATTTATAGCCAAATTTCCGAATGAAAAATTGTAAGATACAAATGTCACTTATACCTTCATATTTGTAAATAAAAAAATAAAAAAATTTCTATCTGCTGGATGTATTTCCCCCAATCTAATCCGGCAAACATTAAAACTAGAATTAAAAGGGCCCACCGTCTCCATGACGTGATCTTCAAGTGAAGTTGGCTTTTCAATTACTCCATGGCTCCAAACTCCTCTTTAAAGCTTCCATAGTAAAGTCCAACCAACTCTTTTTGTTCTTGTATATATATATATATATATATGTGTGTGTGTGTTTGAGCAACTATATCAATGTATATACATATAAAATAAAATAATTAGAATATGAACTATAAAATAATTATAAACTCTCAACTTTTTTCTTAACAGTAGTCTACAAACCCCCAAAAATAAAATAATTAGAATATTTTCCAAAATTATTAATCAATAGTCAAGATTCACTGATCTTTGGGCCCACAATAGGAACTTCAAAAATATGAACTTGTCTCTAGTTGTTTGATGATAACTAACAAGTTTGAAATAATTATATATTATTTTGTTATGAAAGTATAATTAATTTAAATTTTGTTAACTAATGTTTTTAATACATTCGTTAACAAAACTTATATTTATAAATTATAACGATCTTGTTAATAATGTGTGTTGTAAGAACATGTTAAGAGATTTAAAAAAAATTATACATTCTACAAGAAGATAAGTGCAATAAAGATTATATAATTTTTAAAATTTATCTTAACATTTGTTTAAATAAAATCCTATTTAATATTGAGAAATGAATTAGTATCCGTTACGGTATGACAATATCACAAGTATTGAGTAATACATATCGATAATCTGATGAATTAATTGGAAATTTTTTTAAATCATAAACGATATTTATGACAATTGTTCGGATTGGAACAGTTTGCATGCGTCCATGAGTCCCATGGGCGCGCATACACACTCAACCTGATTGCTTACATGGCATATTACATGAGTTACTAGGGTTTATTCGGCTTAATTTGTATTCATTGTTGAGAAAAAAAAAAGAAAAGAAAAAAGGCCAAGCTATGCATTGATGTTGTTGATGTAATATAGGCGGTGACGATAGAAAAGAGGAATGCTCATTAAATAGAAGGGAGGGGAGTCTGTATACAGTTGATTGAAGGAGGAGGAGGAGAGGGTCTTGAATGAATGCCCTACATATATTGATCTTTCAAATGGATACCAATTAAATCCAAACTTGTACAATTGGGTCATTCAAAGAACTACTACACTACACCCCTTTTTAAAGCTCTCCAACACCCTCTCGGCTATTTAAAACAACACCCACGTCCCCATGAGGCCTCTTCATCAGCTGCTTCTATGATACATTTAATCACTCCTTCGAACCTACACTCTTTTAAAGCTCACAACTGCCTCTCACCTATATTCAAATACAACCAAGTTTTATCAGCTTACCACTACAACGTATAAGAGTTTTAGATACTAAATTTTTTATTCTCTAAAAGTATAAATTTTGTTACAAAAAATATTTAGGGATTAATTTCAGTTGTAGTAAGGACAATCACTAAAAAATTGTTTCGAAAAATCAAAAAATGAGTTTTTAGGAACAAAATTTTAAAAATATCGCTAATAAATACGCTTTAAGAAACAAAATTACTTGATCCAAAAAAGATTTATTTTTTGAGACAACTTTTGGTCCTAAAAGGTTAGTAATTCATCACTAAATATCTAATTTTGTTACTAAAAATAAATTAATAACACTTTTGATAACAAAAATATTTTGTTCTTAAAAAGTGATTTTGAAATTTTTTATCTCTAAAACCTTAATTTCAGATCGTGTACTAGGAGACAAATGTGATGTAATAGTATCAAGAATATTGAGTGATACATATAAAGAATTGTGCGACTCAAACATGAATTTGTTAAAGTTATCAATTGTAAAGAAGATGTTTATTAGCAACCAAATCAGTCATATTAACCATAAATAGACTATATTGGATGTGAATTGGATCATGAATTACAAATGGATATGTATCACAAACTGATTATATGTATTTCATTTTTATTCCCACCAATCTATTAAAGTGTATCAGTAAGTATCAAAAATTAGAAAACCCAGTCTATATTTAGAACCATGACACATCAGAGGTGGCTCAGGCGTATCCATGGCTTAAGGGAAAAAAAAAAAAAAAAATTCTATATGAAGCCCTTTATAAATTTTTACATTCTATTTTTTTTAATTTTTTTTTTTCACTTTTTAAGATGGAAAACTACTAATTAAAATTTTATATTAAAGCTTTGCTAACATATCTTCATATGCAAAAGTACAATATATTCTTAGAATTGGCCGTTACTAATGAATACTGTTATACACAAAATTAACTACAAAACTATCACAAAATTATGTATTGTAAGAGTTTTTGCGGTTGGTTTGGTAACTAGTTGGTCTCTAATATTTCTTTTGCCAATATGATCTTTTTATTTTAACTGACAAAAAGATTTAATGATAAGGATTTTCTGTTATAACCAAGAGAGTTTGAAAAATGGCAAAATAATAATAATAATAATAATCTTTGCATTTAATAGTTGATTTTATGAGACTATTTATTCTCTCTCTCTCATTTTTTTTTTGTTTTTGGTTTTGGTTTTGTTTTTGTTTTTGGTATGTATGAATACAATTTAATGAGACCACTTGCATACTCTTTGTTTTTCTCTAATTTATTTTTCACCCTCATTTTTTAATGTGATATATACGCAGTAGAAAATTCAATGTATATAAAAAAATTGAAACCCTCTTTTATTCAGAGTTTTAGGCTAATAATTGAGCCACTACTAAGTGTGAACCACACACCACACATAAAAACATTTTTGGAAGCAATCAAATGGCTTCAACTGAATTTCTTTTTGTCTCAAAACAACCACTATGCCAAGATAAATGAACTTTTGGACCGTATGTGTACATTTATTTTTCTTTCTGAAATTACATTAGCAACCCTCACGAGCTAGTGTAATTTTTTGTTTAATTAAAAACTTTCTTGGTGATATATATATATATATATATATGTGTGCGCGCGCGGGAGTGCACAATTAATGCAAGGAGAGACTAACCAAAGGTGATAAAATCAAAAGATTTGTATAGAACAAAAATTGAGAGAAGGATCTAAAACATGCATAAAATATCAGTTTTACGTACCCTTTTTTGTCCACTAGAGTGGGTTAGTCCATAGCCAGAGAGTACCAATTACATAAATAAGGAGGAAAAATTATACAATAGTCTCGGAGTAGTATGTGATCATATTCTTTTATCAATTATTATTCATTATGCTTCTTAATTATTCAATACAAATAATTAATACTTCATATTTTTCACTAATTATATTATCGTAAAATACCATGATCATAATCCTAAACAACTGAATAAACACCAATGGTAAGGGACAGTGTTGGACAACACAACTACCAACCCATTATCACTACTAATGCTCCAAAGACTAGCATACTTTTATTTATTTATTTTATTTTTATTAAACTTTTTAACTTTTTCTTAGTAGGGTATCAGACGCCCACTTAGAATGTTTTTTTTTTCTTTCCAATTCTATGGTGCGTTTGATTGCGACATTAGAAAGGCATATAAGGATCGGGGGCGTTTAGACCCTATTATTCAATAATTGAAAATAATTATATTTCCTTATCTCATTTTTTGTTGTGTTATAACAAAACAATATAAAAAATTCTCATTCTCTATCTAATTTTCAAGAATGCAGAGAAATTTCACAGAATACAGTGCTGAAAATTTTTGTGTTTTTATCATTTTCCTTAACAATAATGTTAAGGAATAGATTTAGAGTGGAGAGAGTTGCATTGATACAACAGACATACGCTAAATTATGTGCTGTAAACTTGGAATGCTTCTTTTGCAGATATCAACGAGTGTATTAATCGCGACAGCAACAACTGTGATGTGAATGCGATTTGCATTAACACGCCAGGAAGTTTTAACTGTACTTGTGCACATGGATACTCTGGCGATGGCAAGAGAGATGGGCATGGGTGCATCAAGCAGGTCTCACAATTTCCAGTAATCAAGCTCTCTTTAGGTACGTATAATTTGCCTGAATTTATTGTCACATAACAGGGATATTTCATTTCAAGGTTAATTAATACCATTTGTTTTAATGCCCATGAAAGTTCTATGTCCTATCAAACAACATTGAAATGGTTTACAATGATTTTCTAGTTCATAGATGGTAACTAATTTTGCCAAAAACAAATGTAAACATTGTTCAATTTCAACACTGAGACAAATTAAGTGTTCCATTTTCAGGGAAACAATAGTGAAACAAAAAACAAGAAAGATTAGCATGATGTCACTAAATTCGTATGACTAATTACAAAATTACTTAGTTTCTATAGAGATTAGTTTATGGGTTAATTCAATTTTTTTTTTTTTGCAGGATTGAGCTTTGGCTTCTTGTCATTACTCATTGCTGTGACTTTGCTATACTTCAGCATCAAGAGAAGGCAACATATCAAACTCAGAGAGAAATTCTTTCAACAAAATGGTGGGTTATTGATGAAACAACAAATTTCATCAAATGAAGGAGGCCTAGAGTCGTCAAAAATCTTTACAGCAGAAGAGCTGAAAAAAGCCACCAACAACTACGCTGAGGATCGAATCCTAGGCAGAGGTGGTTACGGTGTTGTTTACAAAGGAATCGTGCCCAATCAACGCGTAGTCGCAATTAAAAAATCTAGAATAATGGATGAGACCCAAATAGAGCAATTCATCAATGAGGTGGTCATTCTCACACAAGTCAACCATAGAAATGTTGTGAAGCTCTTGGGATGTTGTTTGGAGACCGAAGTTCCTTTACTAGTTTATGAATACGTGTCGAATGGCACACTTTTCCACCACATCCACAAAAGTGCGTTATCTTGGCTATCGTGGGACCATCGTTTAAGGATAGCCGCGGAAACTGCAGGTTCACTTGCTTATCTTCACTCTGCTGCTTCCAAACCCATCATTCATCGAGATGTAAAGTCCGCCAATATATTACTAGACAATAACTACACAGCGAAAATATCAGATTTTGGAGCTTCAAGGTTGGTCCCACTAGACCAAACCCAAGTAACCACACTAGTTCAAGGTACCTTAGGGTATTTAGATCCAGAGTACTTTCACACGAGCCAGTTGACAGAAAAGAGCGACGTTTACAGTTTTGGAGTGGTTCTCACTGAACTTATGACGGGTAAAAAACCCTTATGCCCCGAGAGGCCTCAAGAAGAGAGAAATTTAGCGACCTATTTCATTTTGTCGATGAAGGAAAACCGGTTGTTTCAAATTCTCGAGCCTCGGGTGGTGAGGGAAGGGACATTGGACCAGCTACAAACAGTTGCAGAGCTTGTAAAGAGGTGTCTTAAATTGATAAGTGAAGAGAGGCCTACAATGAAGGAAGTGGCAATGCAATTGGAAGGTTTGAGGAAGTTTACTAAACATCCTTGGGTTCATCAACAAGGCCAAGAAGAGAGTGTGAGTTGTCAAGAAGAGAGTGTGAGTTTGATGAGTGAAACATCAGACCTTTACACTGTGCCATTAAGCCCTTATAATACTGGTGGCATTGTTTCTGGGCAATATAGTTTGGACAGCCAAACAATATTCCCGGCTAACAGCCCCCGCTGATATAATTTTCTGAATATGTAGCATTGTATGTTGTAAGGTGATCGTAGTTCCTGTTTGTTCACTGTTTTTTTTTTTTTTTTCCTAATCTAATTTCTGTTTGTTAATCTGGTTTTGAGTGTACAAGATGGATTTACCCCTTGTAGTGCTTGTCTATTGTTTCTCCTAAATTTTAATAATGTTATGGTGATAAAATTTACATTTATGGTAGAGATCATTATTGTGAATACTATGCTGTATTGGATTGTATTAATGAATACATTCGGATGCAAATCGAATGGATTTGAAATATTTGGAGCATTTGAATAGAAAATTGAGAAAACAGTAATTAGGTAGTAATTATGGCTTTTGAGGTCATTTATTTTAGTATCCAAATAGGAGTTTAACTCAAATTTACAATTTTTCAATTTTTTACTTATTTATTTCTTTAATTGTTTAGTATTTTACTAGGAAACTACCGTGTTTTTCTTAGGGAAAATTATTTATAAGTCCTATTAGGGAGACTTATACTGCATATGGTCCTACTAAAAAACTTATGTTCCCATAAGTCTTGTGGGAAGTTTGTTGACACATTTACCCTCCTCTCAAAAAATAGCCTATGTGGTAATGATCTAGAAATAATAGCAAAAACCTAATATATTATATATATTATATATCTACTTGCAATATCAGTTTTATAATATAAAACTAAACGTATCAATGGGCATTCATAACTATAAAAGACGTTGTACAACCTTATTGATCTATATTTACACCTAGAGGCTTAACATGTAATCGTAGAAGCCTTACAATTTAAAACAGTAAGACAGAACACACTAAATAATGATATTGCGTAATAGATACTAACATTTCATATTCCTATTATAGGAATAGAGAATTGAATATTTGTTGCTCTATAGTCTATAGTATGACGCTTTCTACACAATAAACGTATACTGCTAATGTCCGCACAACCTATGCATAAAAACGTAAACGTGTTACACATTGATCTAGCTATGGCAACATTCGATTCTCTGTATAATGGGAAACGCAACAGTTAACACACAAGTAAAAAAACCCAATGTGAACATTTTTCATGCATCTAATTTTAACGAACACATAAAAACGTACACAAGCCTTAAAAGTTTTGCAAAGAGAAACGTAACGTGGATTAAAAAACACTGTGTCTACGTAACGTGTGATGTGTAGGTGCCTTCATCAGTTATGATTAAGTACCCGAACTCGTCACATTACGTTACGTTATTACGTAAAGTGGTTAACACGGATCATACTGTTACAGTATCGTTTATTGTTAGGTGTTCACGAATTTGACGTTAAGTTTCTTATGTATGAACAGTGTCAACTCGTTTCTCGTGTAACTGTTATGTAAGATCTTTGAAAATCCAATGATCTATTTATAAAATTAAGACTCTGAAATATCGTCTTCATTAAGTGTATGACACGCAGGGACTAGTGAATCTACCACAAGTGTCTGAATAAAAGACTTAATAAATAAGGGCTCTCCCTTCTCTCTTATTTTGGGAATTTTTATTTAATTAATCTAATCATGTACCTCAATTTTATCATTTATCTTTAACAACAACACCAAAACTTGTGTACATCGATGGATAATACCAATAGACGCATACCACATAACGGGAAATATGGGATAAAAAGCATAAAGTAAATTGATAACAGTATACATTGATAATTATTGATATGGAATATTAACCAAATTTCGAAACCAGTGGCTTTTGACGAAACATATATTAAACACTAGCAATCAAAGAGGAATCCAGAGCCCTAGAGTAAAGGACATTTTAGTACCACCAAATTATAGTGCCATAGCCATCAGAGGGCCTTCAAAAATAAGTAAGTACAAAAAAGCCGAGAGGCCCCCAATTGCTTACATTTGATATTATTATTGATTATTAGTGTAATATTCATTTAACGCTAATTTAAGTTCTTAACATATAAAAAAGGAGCCCCAAAACATATCATTGAGTTACCTTTAAAATAAAATGTCATGAACCTCATTTAATAGAAAATTGAAAGGCCATTCAAAAAATATAAGCAATTGTTATCCATTGAGAAAATAATGTATACCCCTCAAAACAAGCATGTGTGTGTGCATCTGTAAGTCAAACACATATATAAGAGTCCAAGGTATTTTAGTTTTAAATTATTTAAGTATAATGTTTAAAGGTACCAAGAAAAAAAATTAAAATGCTTAGACCCTCAACAAAAAAATAAACAGTTTG